CTGTTTGTCAGGTAGTCTTTGATCCAGGCGATTGTTGAGGCCTCCACCGGCGTCTTCTGGAGTTTCAGACAAAGCAACTCAGGTTCATCATATCATATAGTTGTTTGCACAATTTCCAAGTCCTGCTACTGATAATTTGATGCTAATGTGCTAAAAGATTTACTATTTATTTATAGCAATACGAAAGAGCAACTTGACAAGTTGCTCAACGTTCCTTATTTTAATGCAATGGTAACTGAATGCTTTTTTCATGTAAAGGTTAGAATATTATGACTTTATTTTCGTATTTAAAAAATAATAATATTCTTGTTGTGTGGCCCTAATACTCTGTCATAGGATTGTAAGAGATTTTGCAGGATTAAAGTTTATTCATTTACTTCACGTTTTAAGGCTACATTTGTAAAAACAAAACATCACTCTCCCTTAGCTTACAGGTGTATTCTACGTGTTTAAAAAGCACATTTTTTAAAAAAATAAATCTTGCTTAAAAAGGTTAATGTATTCAACCATAGTGCCAATTTAACAACTTTTCTTCCCCTCCAGCCTTTAAATKTAAACTATGAGAGTTTAATGACATTACCACCATCTGTTCTCTCATATGGCTTTTCTCACCCCATCCACCCTTTGGAACCACCTTTACCTTTCAGTTTGAGCAGATTTGCCTCCTTGCCTGCCGTGACAACTCCCCACCCCACAAAATATATTCAAAGTAATATTTAGTCTGGAAACTTCAGACTGGCTGTAAAATAAAAACAAAGGGTTGCACGTTATGTGATAACAGTTCTTAATACTGGGATGATGATATGACTTGCAGTATAAATGAACAAATACTTGAGTATGCAGTGTTGACGTCTTTCTGCTCTGGGTTCACAGCAAGAAACCAACAACTAACACATCGTTTTCATTCCAACATGGCTATTTAATTAAAAAAATGTGCAACTAAACACAGCTGCTGAGTTAGCAGCGAAACAACAAACTGCAATGTTTCTAAATGACTTTAAAACATTTTTTGATGCTCTGAATACTGGAAAACTCCCCTTACTATCAGGAATTTTTAAAAGAAATAATAAAAACATCTGAAGATAAGTTTAAGAATTTTAAGGCTGCAACACTGAGTCGATAAAATCGATAAACGATTATTCAAAGTGTTGGCAAGAAATTTCGTTATCGATTTGCTGTGTTKGGCATTTTATGATGGTTTTAATTTAATGATTAAGCTTTAAGTTTTAAACGGACAGTAGCTGCGTTTCCATTGACCATAAAAATGTGTAAATTAGAATTGCGAAAATAAATTTGCTCAATGGAAACATGGCAATTTTGAAAATAATGTATGTTTTTTTGACACAATGGTTTTGTGCGAGGATAAGGTGGTTTTTCAGCCGTGTCGAAAATGGTGTATTTCACAAAACTGCAATGGAAACACTTTTTTCGCATCACAGCAGTCATGTGATCAACAATCAGATGTTTCTACTGGAGAAAAAGACGACAAAGAAGAAGACAACAGGAAGTAGAAGTATTAAAATCACTGACTACAATTTCCCAGAAACACCACATACGTAGCCACTCYCAAGTATAAGGGTCTCGTCGCTCGAAAGCCTCGATAATACGTCTCCTCTGATGTCTGATAATGGGCGCTAATGCCGTGGTAGCAATATGAATATATCTCATGTAAGTGTTTACATCCATCGCCGCCATGTTTGTAATGACTTATCACGAGAACAAACGTATTAACATGTGATTTTAATAACATTTCTTACTTAATGGAAACACCGCAATTGCGAAACTATGTTTTTTTTAGAATATCGACAAAGTTTTGTGCACATTTGCAATGGAAATGCAGCTATTGTCTGAGGGAAAACACTTGTCTTAACCTAACTGCAAATAAAATGAGGCATTTATTGGATTATTGTAATAAGCAGATGTCTTGACTTAAAGTATTCTTAACATGATCGTCTCTGACCTGAGACTGTCCATGGTCAAACATAAAGACTTCACTTTAATAGTTCCCACTTTTTTCCAGGTTACACTCTTCCCTAAGGAGTGTAACCTGGAAAATGTGTCATTTTACAAAGCTCATGGAGAGAAAACAAGAAGATACTTTTGACAGAGCACACAATTTGTGTATATTTTTGTGTACATTCATTGTTTTAGATCGATTGTATATGTTAGCTTTGTAGAGACCCAATAGAGTGCTGTGTGAACAGATTGTGAAGCGCTTTGAGTATCCTGGTTGGATAGAAAGGCGCTGTATAAGTACAGTCCATTTACAGTCCACTGTTTTACTGAAGCTGTTTCACAATTATTTTGTTATTTATGCATTGCAATTTAATATTACAGTAACATAATTCTCAAACAGCAAACTGTTTGCGCAATTTCCTATGTCAGTCCTAATTTTATATTTTGGAACGAAGAGGTCAAAATTAAAACTTCTTTCTTTCTTTCTTTCTTTCTTTCTTTTTTCCGATCCATTGATTATTCAAAAAATAATAATAATCAAGGTGTAAGAAAATTTAGTGATCGTTATCTGAAATCGTGACGAAACCGCATGAATGTTGAAAAGATTAAAATGTGAAGAGATGGACCATACAACACCAGTTATTGGAGTGAACGGTGGTTTAATGCTCTCTGTGCAGACGTGAAACCAACGCCGAATGAAAACCGGAAGTCCCGGCTTATAAAAACACTGTTCTTCAGTGCCTGGTACGCCCCCTACAGGCCTTCGGCTGAATCGCAGACACTCTGAACAGCAATGCTCTCCTAATGTTTTAATTAACGGTTTTATTATGATGATTATCATGATGTTTCAGGCATGTATCTAAACCTATTTTAATCAAGACATAATAATAGTCAAACAATAGATTATAAGATTCAATACTTAAAAAGGAAAACTATGGATATGATGTAGTGCTTTTAAAAAAAGTATCTAACATGACTAATAAATTTCTTCAAAGGGTTAATCGATTATTATAATAATTGTTAGTTGCAGCCCWAAAGAATTTTAAATGAATCCGAAAAAAATCTAAATCCGACTCCAAATCATCTAATTGTAATTGTGCAACATTTTACTCCACTATGTGGCTATGGTTTGATGTGGAATATCAGGTCCAYAAACATATAAATGCAAACATTTGAGCCTACYGTTTATTGCATTTTATGCARTTTTGCAATATTGCACAGGCTGTTGTCACGATGATAAATTTGCGATACACTGTGCAGCTCTAGTGCCGACTTTTATCATCGACTGGATGAAGTGAAGCATTTACTAGTGAGCAGAGTTGAAATAGCAAACATAATCCAACTGTTTCTTGCTAAAACAGTCCCTTACCTCCCATGTGCAAAAACAATCATTTCCCCTTTCATTTGGTCTGAACCAATCCATGTGTTCTGAGGTGACTTAAAACCAAATCAAAAGGAAAAAAAACCTAAGACACCATGCAGCAATAGTTTAGAGCATTAAAAAGAAATTCTTGTTCATTGAAAGCAGCAGGTGAAATTAATAAAAGCAGCAGGTTTTGCCTGTGGGAACTGCACTCCATCACTTGGTCAATAAGCATTCAATTACATCTTTCACTTAAAAAGCTCAGCTAAAATTCATGAAAACATCTATTCTCTGCTCAGGCGTACTTCACATTAATCTGATGTCTTTGGAAATAATGTCTCCTGGCACAATGGGAGGTATAATGATTTATCTTTATATATATATATATATATATATATATATATATATATATATATATATATATATATACATATACATATATATACACATATATACATGCATATATATACATATATATACACATATATATATGTGTGTGTGTGTGTGTGTGTGTGTGTGTGTGTATACTGTAATATTAAATATATCAGTAGGCAAAAAAGAAACAGACCAGAGTCATGTGATGCATCAAATTAGCTCCTATTGTAATCGTCTTCAAAGTTGGCTAAAGCAAAGAGTCTTCTTGTTACAGACAGCAAATGAGAAATGAGGGCAATCAATACCTTGTGTCGGAATTTCATSACTGGTCGATATGGGGGTGACCCAAACCCCTCCTTGTTTGGTCTCCCACTGGCGCCGAGCACGCCAAGCCCCAACAGCAGGAAGGCGACCGGCCACCATCGAGCTGTCGTCATTGGTCCTTCCCTGTCGAAAACCAAACCAGAATGGTGAGTTCTCCGCTCCAACGCTCTGAAGGTTCGATACCGGTGGGCCGAGCCCATTCATCAAGCRTGCTGTAATTAGTGTAGACAATGAGAACTGCAAAACTGTCGCCGSTTCAAACTCGAGCTATCAATACGTACCCCACACTCAGCGGGGAGATTAGATCTCTTTTTGAATCAATTATGGGGGAAATAGACGTCAAGAGAAAATCTAGATAAGAAAGACAAAGAGCCAATATATTAAGGCAATTAAAGTGAGGGCTGTGGATTAATTAGGCTGAGTGTCTAAATCAAGTAACTGTGATGTGTTGAGAGATAAGATCTTCAACAGCGACAGCGCAGGCCTGCAAAAGATGCAGCTCAAATACAGTATATCTACATGAGTGAGAATATTCACTTTACSGCTCTACTATAAATGCATTTTCAATTATTCAGAATGCTGTGTGGGAAGAAGTGTGACCTTTCATGTCGTGAATTAAATAAGAGGACTTAGTGAGAAAAATAACATGCCCAGTGAAAATGTTTGTCACAGAAACAGCCTGGTTGAGTAAACAACACAGCGAGTATTGTAATTCAAGTCATCGTGCATCGATACGGCAGCTCGCCCCCAAAAACACTCTTCAACAGCAGCGGTTTATACGTTAAATTCTTTTGATTTGTAGACATTCGCAGAAAAACACTGAGCTCCACTTTTTCTGAGCCGATCTCAACCCCCTCGGTGCTCGCTCATCTTTCCTGGTGCAGGGAGATGACTGACAGCAGCATGGTGACCCCCGCTTCCTTGTTCTACTGGAGTGACAGAGTCTGACAACAATGGTGCCGCCGTGGCAGACTTCTGAGCACGCTCGCTAGTCACCGGAGGTTAGGAGGTTCCACCAGAACGGAGCGTGTCACCACGATGGCTCCGGACGAACGGCAAACACTGAAAAGTTTGTTTTTGTGACTTTTCGTGACTTCTGTTGCCTTYCGGAGCTCCCCGATGTCTCCGGGTTTTCTGCACAGCTTCAGCTTTGAAGCCATTTCCTTTTTTTTTTTTTTTTTATTTCAAGCATTTTCCTCAAGGCAAAAGAAAACACAAAAAAGATCTGATGGATATGGATAGAAGACACTACAAATTGGTAGCACATACARCTGTTTTATTTTGGACATTTTAAGGGCTTGCCAAACTTCTTAAGAAAGTTTAAGTCTTATTTAAAGCTTTATAGAACAAAGTAAATGTTCATTWAAAAAAACCTCTGCACCATTATCAACACGCCCACAAACCCATCAAGTTCATCTACTTTAATTTACTGAAAAACTGTTATACCTGAGATGACAAACCAGGTAATGAAAGATGATGTATGAAAAGAAATGGGCATTACTATAAGTGCAGCACACTAAAATGATGGACAAAAAAAGTTTAACTTAAAACTAAACTTTCAGTCATAATGGATATCTTATTTAATCAGCTCATTTTTTTTCAGTAGATGGAAACAAACAGGAAGCATGTATAAATAAATCTAAAGGTAAAGTTTCTAGAAAGACTGTAAAGCAATCATAAAACAATTAACTGAAAATGATCAACAGTCTCAACAATTCCCTGAACAATCAATTTGAAGAGTTTGGCACCAATATTGTATMATTTACCAGTAATTTTTCACGTCTTCCTTTCAGGGTCACGGGGGTCACTGGTGCTCATACCCAGCGGTCACAGTGCGAGGGGCGGGGTACACCCTGGACAGGTTGCAAGTCCATCACAGAGACACATAGAGGCAAACAAGACAAACAACCATTCACTCTCTAAAAAACTATTTAGAGTTACCAATTAACCTAACAGTCGTGTTTTTGGTGTGTGGGAGGAAACCAGAGTGCCCGGAGAAAATCCACACATACACAGAAAGAGCATGCAGACTCTACCCAAAACGGTCCCCGGGCCGGGATTTGATCTGGCAACCTTCCTGCTGAGAGGCAACAGCTGTGCCACCTAACCTAGCTCTTTTTACTGATATGAAATAACATATAAGAAAAAATAGTCAAAACCTAATTAAAAAGTTTTAAAACAGCAACATAAAACTAACGACCTCAATCATGGACAGAAAAAATATGTTTGGTTTCAAGACAAAACATTTGGCCTCATGCAAGAACCGTTTGTACGAACATATTTGTTCTTAAGTTGTGCGTACGAGTGATTTAGGAGAATTTGTGGCATTCACCAATTTTCTCGTATTCTAAGATTTTTTTCAGATACAAACAAAATTCACAAGTGGTCCAGACCTGTCGAATATTTTACGAGCAGTCGGTCTGCTGTTATCCAGATGGATTTTTCTCATAAATAACTTTATATTTCATTAGTTTGAAGATATTTTGAGTGGAAAATAAATCACACTTCATAGTTATGTTGACAATAGGCTATTCTGTTTGAACTGGAATTAGATTTTAAATATAAATAATGACATAAATTGGTTAGATTAAATTAAATTGGCTATTAATGCTGTTGTATAACACTACAATGTTAACATGAAGATCTCAAACTACAAACCAACTTAAATTATGTATTAATTGAAGTTTGGGGACACTTTGAAATGCTTTATTTCAGAACCGCGTCTGACACCACTTGTGACGGCGCGACTGCTCTTCTTCCGAATAAATGAAAACTATGTAACACAGTTGTTTACACACTACAAGTTCTTTTTTACTTTGTGATGTCATTTATGAATGGGCACTTCCTGGAATATGGGGCAGGAAACGTAGCCTTATATGGTGTTTTTGGGGTAGTAATTACGGTAATCACCTTTCCCCGTGCACGAGCACCTGATACACATTCATCAGTTTACGCAGCTCATTTACACACATTTCCTGAAGATAGAAGAGTTTGTTGAATCTGACGTGACATGTTCGTACAAAGCCTTCGTACGAACAAAAGTAAGAGAAATTTAGGATAAGGATACAAACATGTTYTTGCGTGAAGCCCAGTGTGTTGTATGTGGAGCCTTGTGTGCCACCATCATAAGTTATCWTGCACATTCATGTTTGCATAAATAATTCAAATCTAAAGTCGTAATAGTTTTATAGACAAATAAGCTGCAAACAATTTGAAAGTTTTCCTTGAAATCCCCGAGGAATGCCATAACTTTGACGTGTGGGTTTATATCCCCCCTCAGTGAACATCTAAGCTTTRGCATTGACTTTCAAATGAAGACTACCCATTTCCCACTATGTACACAATGAATCATGTCCTGACAACTCGGAGGCTCTGCATCACTTCTCCTATCCATTTCATTCAGCAGACTTTCACCAGTCAGTGTGCTGGCCAAGCTGACAGTAACATCCACAAAGCCCACGGGTGAGGATGCACCACACCGAAACGATGCTGCTTATGAAATTCTACACAAAGCACTTACTAAAAACAGTGTTGGTGCGAAAATGAAAAGACATTGAATTTGACACAAAGCCACTGGTTTTTGACTATGAATGCAGCATTCTTTTTTTCCTGCATTCTGCCCASTTACTTAAGCAGGTCTGCCCTGCACTCTGTCCACAATGTACCCTCCTTAAATAAAGACCGTGTCCACTGAGGGGATGCTCAAATGTAATCAAATACACAGTTCCACAGTAATCATGGTGTCAAGGCTGGCTGCACTGCAGATGGTTCCACAATCATTATTAGACTGTCCTCCAAACCAAGTGACCAACGTTGATGATCTAAACGTAGCAATACATCAGTTTCCATGTGACTGTTTACCATGAAACCCTGATACAGTCAATTTATACTACWAGTAAAATTTACTGCTAAACAATGAAACAATCCACGTACACAAGAGGTTTAGGAGATTTGGGGAAAAAAATATCACAATGCAATGAATCTATCCCRAACACAATCGCAACTGTGGGTGTAAAGCACATGTGTCAAACTCGAGGCTCGAGGGCCGGATGTGGCCCACCACTGGATTTTGTGTGGCCCGCTTCAAAGATGTAATGTTTTAAAATAAGCATATGCTGCTTYCTCCCATAATGCAGTTTGATTACTTTACTCGCGAAATGACAGCCTCCCACCACTAGGTGGAGCTGCAGCCCTGTTGTACTGGGAAGTGGGCAATTTCCCACTTAAGGGCTCGACACACGGGAGGCGACGTCGCTCGCTCTCCATTCATTTCCTATGGAGCCTGTGCGGTGAGGCGACATTCGCTTGCCCTCCTCCAGCTAAGCGACCGACGAAAATAGTGCATGGGAAATTTTGCGCTCGTACACATACACGTACACAGGCGAGCTTGCGACGCGACATATGAAAGTTGAAAAATGTTCAACTTATGTCGCTGTCGCTTAGCGTACAACCAATCAGTGAGGGTTTCATTGACTGACCAATGAGAGGAGAGTATGCTACACACTGCTGTTAGCTAACACTTTCACCAAGTGATTACTAAAAAGCTTTGTGGGAATTTATTGGCACCAGGGTGAAGT